AAGAATGGCAGAAGCATACATAGACCCTTCTTGCTCAATCGTCTGTTTTTACATCTCATTTTCCTTCTCTCTTTATTCTGAGGCACTCGTGCGCAGGCCTGTGAACCTCAAGATGCACAAGCTAAAACGGGAAGCCTTGTAAGATTGGAAACACGGGCGCGTTCTGGTACTCCTCAGCAATCACAAGCAGGGTGAGCATGTAAATCCCATTCAGTAATCTTAAGATTGCTCAAATATGTCACCTCTAATATTATGTTTACATTAAGTATAGGTTCCCAACGATCTTGATCAAAGGACCTTATGGAGCACCTGCACAAAATTACAAGAAATATGACACCCTTCTTCTCATTGGACTGGGGATTGGAGCGACACCATTCATCAGCATTATAAAAGACATTCTAAATAATAGAGTTGAATTAGTAAGTATCAAGCTCCTGAATCTTTGATTAAATTTTCTCAAGAATGAGAGGACAATCATACCGGATGAACATATGAAACAAAAATAAACTATTGCAGGACCTTGCAGATGACTTACTAGCAAGAAAGAAAGGTCCTAAAAGAGCCTACTTTTACTGGTTAACACGCGAGCAAGGATCTTTTGAATGGTTCAAGGGAGTCATGGATGACTTAGCAGAGTATGATGATCATGTAAGTCACATAGAAACTAAAAAAGATCATAATTATTCAGTTCCCTTTTCTTAAGATTGCTCGAACTGAACTCTTTTTTCAGCATGTCATAGAAATGCATAACTACTTGACTAGTGTATATGAAGAAGGAGATGCTCGATCAGCATTAATCTCAATGGTTCAGTCACTGCTGCATGCCAAGAATGGAGTTGATGTTGTCTCAGAAAGTCGGGTATTCACGTCCAAACATACAATTTCCACAAAGCTTTTCCCGCAATAAACTTAATGTTGGTTTCTGACACAATATATTGACAGATTAAGACGCATTTTGCAAGACCAAACTGGAGGAAAGTGTTCACTGATTTGGCAACTCAAAATCCATCCGCACGGATTGGTAAGTTGATGTCATCCATTTCCTTCCAACTGATGATTCCAGCTTTGTCAGGGCTTAAAGATTGTTCTCATTGCCAAATGATGGATTGTTGCAGGAGTCTTCTACTGTGGAAGTTCAGCACTTACAAAGACACTCAAACAACTATGCCATAAACTAAGCTTAGAAACGACAACACGCTTCCATTTTCACAAGGAAAACTTCTAGAGAAATTTTGTAGTCTTATTATTATATATATATATTCTGAATAGGCATGTCCAATGGCATACCATACTGTGTCATATTGTATGCATCTTTCTTTTTTTTTTTTCACGATACAGAAGACGTATATAGATGCAGAACTTAGTTAGGCAGTCAAATTGATTTTGGTTGAGTTTTTTTTTTTTTAGTTTTTATTAAGCCTTTGCTATGTTGCAGATTTGATGGTAGTAGCTCTCGTACGGGCATCCGCCCTCAGGCAATGGATTGCAAAGGCTTTCAAGTTTTAAATTTTAATCGTAATCACTCCATTGAACTTTCGGTCTCTGTTTCCACTCCAAGTAGAATTAGGCATACCCAGCTACCCCAATGAAAGTATGAAAACCATCCATAATCCTCAAGAAAATGTTCAAAAATACACTATTTTCCATATAATACTACTTCCTCAAGAAAATAATCCTCATATAATATTTCTTGGTCAATTCTCAAATCATACAACATATAACAAGCTCCTTGTAGCAATTGATACAATCGTTTTGGTCAATCCTCACTTTATACATCGTACTGTATCTCAGAATTTTATAGCATAAAACCTATTTTCAAGGGGAGGGGGCCGGGAAGATACCATCGTGCATAGTTATTCCTTCGTCTTTTTCTGACTGGAAACAGGCCTCGTCTCGCCTGGGTGATGCTTTCCATGTTTTGAAATATTGGCCACAGGCTTGTACAATCTAATCAGCATTCTTTTTTTTTTTTTCAGTATAATTTAGGGGGAGGGGAAGCCTTTCTTGGTATTAAACCAAGGGAGTATTGGATACCAAGGGCTCCCTGATGAGCCATTGGTCTAATCAGCAATATAGTTTTCTTGATTGCTATTGGATAAAGGGCTGATCCACAATTGGTCAATAAAATCAAATTCAAATTGTGCGGATCAAAAAAATTCCACTTTTATCTTTGACATAACAAATATGTACAAAGTCTATATTAGCAGTAGCTAATATACAATACAAGATCTATGGTAACGATAACGAATAAAACATCTGATTATAGAAGTGCACAAGTCATATATAATAATAAATTGCAAAGTATTAAAAATTTATTATATCGTTCAGAAATAGTTATACTATCATTCATATTTCTTGAAATTACTATGATTCTACGTTAAAAATAATACACGTATTAGGGCAAATGGACCTTTAATTCATCCACGAGAGGAGTCGGATGTGCTCCTACAGGATAGAACCCTTCCGTTTTTCTTATTTCTTAACCCATTCGTTCCTTTTTGCCTCGGCTGCAGAATTTTTGCCACTGGTCCGTTTGGTTCGAATGAAAACTTTAAAGCAGCTAAATCAGATTTATATGGAAAAGCAGCTAAACTTGGCCACGTACCGATCGGAGTCAAGAATCCAGTCAACCAAGACTGCCCACTTGAGTCCCTTTTCAAGCTTTTTCACTTTCCGATTAGTTTCGTCATGCTAATTAGTAAATGTCTACTGGTAACTTCTACTCTTTTTATGATTATTTTATTTTTACACAACCTCTGTCAAGAAACTTTGGAAACGATATGATAGTGCGGGAAAATGTGGAAATTGACCTTTCAAAGCTGGAGACACACGACAATGTCTCAGATGGATACTGATCAGAAGAAAGAGTCAGATCATTTTGCTTTTTGCTACTACAAAACATGAAAATAACAGTGTGAAAATTAAATGCAACACAATAATAATTTGGAAGGAATATCCTATTGCCATCTGCTATCTCTTATGTTTTTCTCTTGTTAGATATTCTTCACCCAGCAGTAGTAGGGATTCTCAAAAATGATCCCCGCTGGGACATGCCCCAAGAGAAAACTATAGTGCAACGTATTGTTCCCACCAAGCCTCGAAGTGTCACACGAAATCCAGGCTGATCCATTTCCACCCTTCATATCATCGTTTCAGGAGATGTACTTCACGCCAAACAGTCACCACACACAAGCATCTATCTTTTCACCATTAATGGGAAGAATTCCTTCTTCTATTGAATTTCCATCTTCTACTCCTAGATCCCTTTTCAAATCTCACCAATTTGCTAGACTCAGACCCTAAGTTTTGATTCCAAAGTAGGGAGCCTCTATATGGTTATCGACATTCTAAATGCAGAGTGGTGTGACAGTGTGACCATTTTTCCGTGAAAATTTTTTCGTTGCGTCATATATATATGTTTTTCTACTATTTTTTTTGTCTCACATAAAACCTGTTATAATATTAATTTTAAAATTTTTTTCCATGTAAGCTTCATTCCAATTGCAGCTTAAAAATGAATTAATTTTACTTTACACTTTTCAACTATACTCGAATTATTATTTTGGTTCATAAATTTTAAAATGGGACACTTTAAATCCTAAAGTATAAAATCTATCACACTTTAGTTCCTAAAGTATGCAATTTTTTCTACTTTAGTTCTCAAAATATAATCTATCTCAATTTAGTCCCTAGCATATAAAATCTGTCCTATTTAAATATAAAATTTATCCCACTTCTATCAACCATTTTACTTAAGGAGGACTAATTCTTATATTAATATTAAGGGGCTAAAGTATTCCGTATTGAAGTTTAGAAACCAAAGTAGAAATTTCAATATACTTGAAGGATGCAAAGTGGAATTAACCTGTAAAAAACATATTTCAATTGTAACTAAAAAAATAACTTTCCTTTTTTTTTAGGGATAATTTCAGAAACCTCTCTGGGGTTTGTAATGATTCCAATCACTTTCTTTGAGATTTGAAAAATTGTAGAAACTTCCCCTAGAAAGTATGTTTTGTTAACAAATGGTAATGTAAGCACAAAAAGTCTAATGAATATCCTATATTGCCTCTATTTAATTTAAAAATAAATTAAATGAAAAAGAAATCAAATATTAGCGTTACTTGCAAAGTAAAAAAAACTTTAAGGTAGTTCTTTGCAAAAAAATTTAGCCCATGTTTCAAGGCATCAATTTTTCCCCCTTTGCTAAGTAAATCGTGAAGAAACTATTTTTAACAAATACATCCTTGCTAGTCGGCTGTTTATAAATTAAGTAAGAAGTTCATTTAAATAACTTAAGAATTGAATTAAATATAATAGATTGAGGTTGGAGCTTTTGATTAAAGAAACATTTGCAAGATGCGATTTTTTATTCTTTACACCCACTTTTTACTTAGAATTTGTAGATTTGTCAAGGCTATCGTAATCTTTTCATAACATCAAGGGAGGTAAGTGTAATTTTTCAAACCTGAAGAGAGATGGTTGAAATTATCAGAAACCTTAGGGGAGGTTTATGAAATTATCCCTTTCTTTTATCATGCCCCTATCTGCAATCTGTGGATTATGCATGTGCATGCATTGACTTGTCCAGCAGTCTATTTTCCCATGGATATATTAGTTAACAAAGCCTGATATATATGGTCACATCTTCTACACTTCTATGGCAGGACAGAAATTGAGCCATAGCAGCTATACATAAGAATAGTAGTATAAGACAAGCTGGATCCAGTTTGTGCAGAATCTAGTTTAGTACGAGTAAACAAGTCCCGCGCATACAATCAAATAGTGGTAGTTGCAGGGCAGGGTGAACATTTTCAAAGGTCAGTAAGCACTGCATGAATACCATTTACCGCAAATTAGACAATTCAGACAATTCCAAGTCCACAGGAAAACGTAACAGAAACCACGCAACACGATAAACAAAGTAATAGTACTCACTGGAAGATGAAAAATTCAAGCCTATAGCCTATACTATTCTCATCTCTATCTCCATTCTTATCCAACATAGGAATAAAATAAAAGAGATAAGATATTATCGTACATAAGTCATAAGTCATGAAAATGGTATCCCATAAATGTCATCCATCACACGCCGTACCTAAAGCTAACTCTCAATGAAATACACAGAATTAAGCAACCTGCCCGTTTTATTATTCTGTTACATGTGATCCATTGAAGTTAGGCAAGACGTGCCATGATTACATATATGGGATACCTTTTCCAACTTTCACGAGTATGAGTTACGGCTAGGGTTGGAAGTGGTGGCCTGATGATCTTTGACATTTTGGGTTGTGATGGGAAAGAGTTCTAGGGTTTTCAGGGGTCTATTACTGCTGCAGCAAGAGGGATAATGAGTAGGACCCGCGTCTCTCATCTTCAACATCATCATCGTCCAATCATCACCATAACTTCTCATCATGCTAGTATTTTGCAATTCGTACATGTTTGGAGGATCCCTCTTCCATGTGCAGCTGGTCATATGTGCTGCTGCACTGCCAACTCCACCCTGTTAGTGTTAAAGATAACCAATTAGTTACTTCCTTTATCTGTTGATGGCTGGATAGCAAATCCAATTCATTCGACACAGATCCAAAAGGCCTAAGAACATTTTTAGTGTGCATGCATGATCCAGTCACACATAGTTGCAGACTGAAAATTTGCCTAACTTTACAATCTTCCGAACCTCGTTTGTTCTTTTTGGTACTTCCATGAATTTGTATTAGGACTTGGACCGAGGATCCAAGTTTTCCCAAACGGAATAGCCAGAAAAAACAAAAAAAAAAAACTAAAAGACTTGCGTTACAGGTCACCCTTGCTTTAACGGAGTCAAGAAATATGTCTTCTAGTCCTACTCTAAGTAAACGAGAATGTCGGAAATACCATAAGATATGACAATTACACCACTTAAAAAAATAAGAAAGGAAAAAAATTATTTGGAATTTGTGCTGCTGTTAATGTACTTAAAACCTGCCCACTAGCTTAGCTCTTGCATGCATTTTAATTTTCAGCCGTCTAAATAAAAATAAAATGATGCAATTAGTTTAGATTTAAGATTACCGGATGAAGATAATCAGCTGACTTGTCGAGGGATAGCTGATGCAGAGCAGGAGGAGGAGATTCATTTGAGCTAAGAAACTTGTTTTCTTGATTATGGCATCGATGGAGGCACAGCTGCTCCTGTAATAGTTGTTGTTGGTATGGTTGCTTGCTCAGTTTCCTTCTTAGCTTCTGTCTCTCCCTGGCTTTGTGGTTCTGAAACCAGTAAAATACATTCTTCCCCTCGATTTTGCCATAGAAAGAAAGGTGGGCCGTGATCCTTTGTATTTGAGAAGCATTTGGTGTTCTTATGCCTCCTCTATACATTTCCTCCAAAATCATTAGCTGCTCTGGGGTTGGACACCATCTGGTTGAATTTGACGGAGACATTTTTTTTTCACCTTTTTGGTACAATTGCAATGCCGCACTGATTTGTGTGAAACTTGGGGGCTCCAACTTAGGATATAAATAGATGGAGAGAAAAGTACAGATGATATAAACGATAGAGCGTCAGATCAGGGCGAGGAAGTAACAGTGTGCAAATCCAAAGTTGTCATGCTGATGTCTAATGTCTGAGAGACTAGGGCCGCAGGGCTCAGGACGGTTGCTATAGCAATAGTCCCGAACAACTTGTAGCTATGATTTGGCTACAATACTAAGTACTCATAATAATCTCTGGCAATGGTTAGGCTTTAGGGGAAATCCCAGAGCACACAACTACAGCTATTATTAGGTTTATTTTAATGTCTCTACCTATACTCAATTTGAGAAGCGTTCCAATATTTTCTTCATTACAATTATTTTACAATGATGTATGGTGGTATTTTTCAATTGTCATTAAATTAAGGTGGATGTAACTTAATAGGGACAAAAATAACATATTTAACACTTTACAAGAAATCATAATATGTAAGAGACTTTGAATGGAAATGTATCAAGTTCCTTTCTATCCATTTCACAAAGACAACACGGTGTGATATATTATGGTATCTACACTCTACAGTTAGTTTCTCTTGCTCTCCCTCATAAAGGAAAAGGTCTTCAGTAAGAGAATGCACACCCGCCCACACGGGAGGGAAAGTGACATGATCGGGCTGGTTGAATGAGAAAAGACATTACGGGGTTGGTTGGGGAGCTGGCATGAATGGTTTCGTCATCATCACCGCATTATTTGCTTCTTTAACAGAATTTGGAGTAGACATCTGCAGGTTGGATGCAACAGATCGGGCAGACAAATTCAATACACCAGCTATCCTAACTTAATGCAAAAGGGTTTGAAGTTTGAAGAACTTCAGTACTGCTACTACCTTTTTGTTTTTCTTCGAAATGCTACAGTTATATTCGAAGACAGCAATTAACTAGAGAAGAAAGTGCGATCCACACTTTTTCGTACATGTCCTCGTCTTCCTTTTGCTAACAACAGAAAACAAGTGATAATTCTCTTTGTTTTCCCTATGCAATATGCTTCCTCTTTGATTTTTCAACGATAATTGTAGTGGGGCCCAGGCGCACATCGGCCCGGTCCATACACACGTCAGTCCAGCCCACGAGCTCGGACTGGAGGGGCTGGGCTGGAGTGTCAGGTCAGCTTGCAGCCCCCTGCGGGCGTCGCCTCTTAGGCAGATGGGCTTGATGGACCGTGAAGGCCACGTCTTCAGACCTGGGTCGTAGAGCCCTAGAAACTAGTCCTCTCCAATGAGGACTCCTTGTCCTACCAGGAAACTACCACCTGGTGTTCTATAAATACCACACCCAGAAGAAACACAAGGTACGCTACTGATAGTACAATCTCTACTCTTTTATTTACGAGCCAGTTCTGACTTGATCGTCGGAGTTGCTTCAGGGGACCTAGCCCCGCAGCTCGCTCACGTGCAGGTCGGACATTCAACCAGCTCGTTCCTCCGAACCTAGCTCAATTCGGATCATCACTTCGGCAGTCGCATCAATTGGCGCCGTCTGTGGGAAACGTTTTCTTCTCTCTTTTTTTCGCGAACAACATGCCGAAGACTAGATCTCAGAGGAATGTGGATGGTACTGAAGGGGGCGCTCAGGGCGGCCCCCAACCAGTTCACCAGGAAGCCAACACAGGGGAGGTAAGGGTCGAGCTCTCGCAGATCTCGCCGGAACAACTGGTGCAGTCGGTTGCCGCGAACTTGCCTACCTTTGAGGCTATTGTGACGTACCTGAAGGGACAATCTGGACAATCTGGTGCGGTGAAGGGACAATCTGGAGTCCCTCCCAGTCCGGAGCGTCGGGTGCGAAAAACGGGCAGAACAGGGAGTTCGGAATCTCGATCTGGAAGCCCCAGGTCGAAGAGGGCGCGAAGGGAGATTACACGCGAGCAGGTCCAGGTGCCAGAGCCCTCTCATAGGAATTCCCGAACTAGCCATCCGGAGCCCGTTCTGAGGCTTTCTCGGATGGAGATCCCTCACAGGAAGGAGGATTATCAGGTCCAGGATGAACTGGATCTCCTGCTGGATCCAGAGGCGGATAGGTACACTGCATCTCCCTTCATACCGGATATCGAAGATTACCCTCTGCCTGCCAAGTTCAAAATACCATCCATGAAGTCCTACGACGCGACCACAGATCCGGAGGATCACTTGTTTGCATTCCTGACTCAGATGCGCCTTCAGACAGCTGCTGATGCGGTCAGGTGCAAGACCTTTCCGATGTTCTTGGAAGGAAAGACCCGACAATGGTTTCAGGGTTTGCCTCCCAGGTCAGTTCGGTCGTTCAGCCAGCTCGCGCGGCTGTTCGCGGCCCAGTTCGTTTCCTCCCGCGCTTATTCCAAAACCACGGCTCATCTGATGACTGTCCATCAGGGGCCCGAGGAGTCATTGCGTGAGTATATGGTACGGTTTAACAACGAATCCCTTCAGGTGCGGGACCGAGATGACAAGGTGGTGATGGCTGCCTTCGTCAACGGGTTGCGCAAGCAGAAGTTGTATACGGAGTTCGTAGAAAGACCTCCCAAGTCCGTCCGGGAGATGCTAGATCGAGCCCACGAGAAGGCGAATGCCGAGGAGGCCAACCGTCTGAAGGGCGCCCAGGAAAGGTTGCGGGATGACAAGCGAAAGAGGGGTGCCGACCTGGGGGAGTCACGGCCAGGTCAGGACCGAAAGAGCGTATCCGAGCGCTTACCTCGGAGCCGACCTTGGGAGAAGGAAAAGACCTGGACTTCGCTCACCGCGCCCAGGGCTCGGGTTCTGGCCGTGATGGAACAGCAAGGGATCTCTCGTCCTCCTCGGCCGCTGGGGGGCGACAAAACCCAGCGAGATCAGGGTTTGTATTGTGCTTACCACAGGGATGTCGGGCACGATACTGAGGACTGTCGACACCTTAAGAAGGAGATCGAAAAACTGATACGAAGAGGTCATCTCGGACAGTTCGTCCGTGACGGGCGAACGGACCAGAAGCCAGGAGGGTTCAAGCGAGATCGGACGGCCAGTTCGCACGACCGGCCTCGAGGTCCTCGTGATCGTACTCCGGAGCAGGGGGTTCAGAACCTAGCTGGAGTAATCAACACTATTGCAGGGGGACCTGCTGGAGGAGACATCCACACGGCTCAACGAAACAACCGACCTCCCCCTAGCGGAGAAAGCTCGAGCAAACGTTTGAAGATGTACGAGGAAATCATCTACGGGCCAGAGGACGCGGTACCCTTAGCCTCTAATAATCATGAGGCGATCGTGATAGAAGTTATCACGTGCAACTATAAGGTAAAGAAGGTGTACATCGATAATGGGAGTGCCATCGATGTGCTGTATTACAAAACCTTCAAGGAATTGCAGCTGGAAGACAAGCAGCTCATCCCAGTTCGGACTCCCTTGATAGGTTTTGCAGGTCCGCCGGTTAGACCAGAGGGAATGATAACCCTCATGGTCACGGTAGGGGAGTCACCGAAGTGCCGAACTGTCCCGGTGAATTTCGCGGTAGTAAAGGAGCCGTCTTCCTACAATATGATACTAGGGCGACCAACCCTCAACGCTCTCCGAGCTGTCTGCTCGACCCTACACCTTAGTATGAAGTTCCCGACGCCTGAGGGGGTGGCCGAGGTGCTGGGGGACCCGGAGGTAGCTCGGGCCTGTTACATTGCAACCCTCAAAGGTAAGGAGAAACTGGTGGCCCAGACGATCTGTCTGGAGCCCTGGGAGCCTGCTGAAAAGGAGGAAAGGTTGGAGACGGATGAGAGTCTGGTCGAGTTGTCGATCTGCCCCGAGCGAACTGATCGCGTGGTAAAAACCGGAGCTGGTCTGAGCGAGCTGACACGGAGAGCTCTGGAGTCCTTGCTGGAGGAATACGCCGAGATCTTCGCGTGGAGCGCTGATGACATGCCCGGAGTCTCTCCCGAGCTGGCAGTTCACAAGCTGCACGTTGACCCAAACATCCGGCCAGTGAAGCAAAAGAAGAGGAACTTCGCTCCTGAGCGCAACGAGATCGTCAAGGAAGAGGTAGGCAAGTTGTTGGAGGCCAAAATTGTGAAGGAGATCTACTATCCGACCTGGCTGGCCAACCCTGTGCTGGTCAAAAAGGAGGACAGGGCCTGGAGGATGTGCGTAGATTTCACCGACCTGAACAAGGCCTGTCCGAAGGATTGTTACCCCCTCCCTCGCATCGACCAGCTAGTCGACTCGACCACTGGGTACGAGATCTTCTGCTTTTTGGATGCCTTCAAGGGGTATCACCAGATTGCTCTGGACGAGGCAGATCAGGAGAAGACTGCCTTCATCACCGAATACGGTACGTATTGTTATACCACTATGCCATTCGGATTGAAAAATGCAGGCGCGACCTATCAACGGCTGGTCAACAAGCTGTTTAAAAACCAGATCGGCCGAAATATGGAGGTGTACGTGGATGACATGCTGGTGAAAAGCCGAACTCAGGAGCAGTTCATCAACGACCTCAGAGAAATCTTTGACGTCCTACGGAGCTCGCGAATGCGGCTGAACCCCAAGAAGTGCACCTTCGGGGTTAGGTCGGGCAAGTTTCTGGGGTACATGATATCCAAGCACGGGGTAAGAGCTAATCCCGACAAGGTGAAAGCTATCATGGACATGGCTCCTCCCCGAAACATAAAAGAGGTCCAGCGGCTAGCTGGCAGGATGGCGGCCCTGAACAGGTTCCTGTCGAAGTCAGCCGTTCGGGATTACCCCTTCTTCAGGGCCCTGCGAAGAGGTCCCCAGTTCGAATGGACTCCCGAGTGCCAGCTCGCGTTTGACGAGCTCAAAGCCCACATCGCACGCTTGCCAGCTTTGACCTCTCCCGCACAAGGAGAAGTCTTATTCATCTATCTAGCAGTTGGGGAGGAGGCGATCAGTGCGGTACTAGTTCGGGAAGAAGGTAAAATTCAGAAACCCATATACTATGTCAGCCGAGCTTTGCAGGGGGCGGAGCAGAGGTACACCTCAATTGAGCGGTATATTCTAGCATTGGTGCACGCGACCCGGAAGCTCAGGTCGTACTTGCAAACTCACCCCGTGGTGGTCATGACCGACCAACCTCTCAAGCAAATTCTCTCAAAGCCTGATGCATCAGGAAGAATGGTAAGGTGGGCCGTGGAGCTGTC